TGGGACGCGCGGTCCCGGGGCGGCAGGTCTGTCCGTTGTGCCCCGCCGGCCGATCCCTCCACGGTGGCTGCCGGCACATGATCCACCGTGACTGTTTCTGTCACGGTGACGACGGCTGGAGGCGCAGGTGCCCCGGGGGACACGTCCTCGGGCTGTCGCGCAACCCCCCCGTCGTCGTCCACGCCAAAATCAATGTCAAAGGTCTCGGCCCCCTCGAAATCCACCGACACAAAGCGTTGCAGCTTCTCGTCGTCCGATTCGGCGGCCTCGAGGCCGCCGTCGCGCGGTATCTCGCTTTCCGAGACAGCTCCGTCCGAAACCGCGTGCGCGCCGCTTTCGGGCCCGTGCAGCGCTCTGGCGCCGGCAAACGCGCATGCCAGGAGAAGGAGGCAAAACGCGAGCAAGAACCGCGCCCGGACGCGCCGGGCCATGGTCCGCCGGCGGGACCCTCGAAGCGTCGAACGCGGCCGGAGCGCTGATCTCTGTCACTCGTTCAAAGTTTGTCGGCGCATCGTCGCCCACCGCACACGAGTCTCTGCCGCCGTCCGACGTCGCCCGGCGCGGCTTCGAGCTCTTCAGGCCACCTCTCCTAAACCGCGCCCTTCGGCCCCGCCGCCGGCCCGGGCCCCGCGCCGCGATGGCCGACATCGACCTCTCCCAGACGACGCCCTTTGCGTCCAAATCGTCCGATGCGCCGCCCGGCATGGTCTGCGACGGCGACGTGTGCTACTTTCCCGATGAGGCGCCGCAGGCGGACGACGACGACGGCCCGCCGCCGCTGCTGAACCCGTCGGGCGAGGCCGTGCCGGTGCCGGAAAAGGTGCCGGTCAAGGTCCGCGAGTTCCCCCTGCCTGGCCTCTTGGCCAAGGTCACGGACCTGGTGGATAGCGATGGGAAGCCGGTGCCCAAGGACGTCTTGCTGTCCCTGCCGGACAAGGTCATCGGGTGGGCGCTGCACGCAGGCGGAAGACCGTTCCTCGATCTGACCGTGTTCCTTGGGGACCGGTATGGGACAGCCTCTACTTTTCCGCCGCATGGTGCCCGCCGTGCAAGCAGTTTTCTCCCCGTGGGTACCTGAAGGCCGCCTCCGTGCCCCGATCGGGTGCTGAACACCCCGCACGTGCAGACCTCGCCGAGTTCGTCAAGTCCAACTCGTCCAGCTTTGCCATCATCTACGTCTCTGCGGACCGGTCGCAGGCCGAGTACCTCAAGAACCTCCAGGGCAAGCCCTTCTTCGCCGTGCCCTTTGGCGCCGAATCGGTCCGCCAGGCGCTCTCGTCGCAGCTCGGCGTGAGCACCATCCCCACCCTCGTCATCCTCAAGCCCGAGACGTGCGAGGTCGTCTCGAAAGCGGGCCGGATGGCCGTCATGAACCACCTCCAGGGGGACGAGAACCCCGTCGCGGGCTGGCGCGAGGGCCGGTGCAAGGCGCAGGAGGCCGGCGGCGAGGGCGGAATCGCGAGCGTGCTGTGGAACTCGATCCGGGGCGTGCTGCCCTACCTGATCATGTGGTTTGTGTGGGCCATGTGGGTCAAACCGTACCTGGGCCTGCAGCCGGGCGTGGGCAAGGCGGAGAAGAAGGCGGCGCGGGTCGTGGCCAAGACGGCGGGGCTGGACCTGGGGGAGGACGAGGAGGAGGAGGAGGAGGAGGATGATTGATTGAATGGGGGGTTGGGGGGGAGGATGCTTTCGGCGCGAAGGCTGGAAGGGTACGCTGCGTTGTTTGCTCGACAGAATGGAACGGTGGTCGCCTGCGAGGGGATTTCGCGATGGATTGGAGCGTCCGGGTGCGTGACGGTGGTGTGGAGGGGCAGGAGGGGGTGAGGGGAGGAGAGGTACAACACGTGGATCGCTTTGGTGGGCGATCATGGAACCATTCTATGCTCTCTACATCTCGGATACTTAAGTCATCTTAGCGTTGATGTGCAGGTATACCTGCGCAGCGGTGTTGAGCATGCTGTCCGAGCTCCGACGCGGGCGTTTGGCCTCCGGGGTCGCGGCGGCGCCTCCGTCATCATCCTGCTCCCGAACCCGCTTCTTCGGACGACGGCGTTTGGCCTCCGGGGCCGCGGCCGCGCCGCCCTCGTCATTCCGCCCCCGAATCCGCTTCCTCGGACGAGGGTGGTTGGTCTCCGGGGCCGTGACCGCGACGCCCTGAGTATCCCCATCCCGAACCCGCTTCGTCGCACCGGCCTCCTTCGCAGCCAGCTGGATGCTCTCGACATTCATGGCTTTGATCGACTTGTCCGCCCGAGCAAGGCGCGCGAGAAACACCTGCGCCCGGAAGCGCTCGGCCGGAGGCAAGCGGAGCACGGATGCCGACAGATCCGAGGCGTTGGGCGTCTCTCTTCCTTCGATGGTGTCGGCCACAGCGAGCTTCAAGTCCGCCGGCGTCCAGGAGCGGCTAGTGGCGGTGGTGCGGCCGACCGTTTCGTAGAACAGCTTGTGCTTCTCGAGTCGCTTGCCGGCGAGTGAGTCCGGGTGGTGTTTCGGCGGGACTGGTCTCATGCATATGCCGGAATTGTGGAGCGCTTCCTTCAGGCGCTGCTTTCCCACGGCGATGATCTGATCGTACACTCCAAAAACCGAGGTCGGAAATGTTGACAGATCGAGGCGGCTTCGAGAGGGCTTGCGCTTGCCGGAGCCGTCTGGGCAACCGTGATGATGCTCGATTCCGATCATCAGCCCTCCCCCAGCCTTGTTGGCGTCGCCAAAGAATCGGCGCAGGAGGCCCAACCGATCGAGGAAGAAGAGGTGCTGGCCTTGGCCAAGTGAAGATGAAACTCCCGTACGCCGATTCTCCAGTATCGCGCATTCATCACCCTTCAACTCGCAGGTGAGGTACACTGTGCAAGGCCACTCCTTCGCGAGCACGGGGTGCTCGGCACAGAGTTGGGAGGGGGTGCGGAGGAGGTGGTCGATGTCGTGGTTGTCCGCGGGATCGTGGGCGGCTCGCGACTCCGTCCGCATGGTGATGCTCTTCTGAGTGTTCACTGAAAGCAGAAACTTCAGCTGTTAAAATTTCGGCGAGGCCAGATAGACCCACAATGATGCGAGTTCTTGATGCCTGATGCCGTCACCCACGACACTTTTTCTTGCTGTCCCGTGCGCGGATTGAACACATCGACTTTCCTCTTGACCTGGAAGCGTCGCGCAGATGAGCTACGATGGAGAGGAGGAGTCCTCCCACTCTGTGATCTCACCTCGTCACGCTGACGATCTGCACTCCCCGGCGCAAGATTGCTTGCCAAACCTGCCGCTTGCGAATGCGTCAGGGTAAGCTTGCCGTCGGGCGAAGTGGCGACGATGGAGTTGGCCTGGAAGGGGTGGAGGATCGTGTCAGGACGCGATCACCGTCAAGGCTCGCAACGAAGCTCACGATCCGCGACTGGGCTTCGGAAAGCACCTCTCGGAGCACAATTCCGTGGCCGTTGAGCTTCCTTCCGAACTCTGCGGTCCCCATGCGGTCCGACATCTCGAGGAGGACGGGATGAAGCTTCCCGTACTCGAACCTGTTTGACTTTGGCGATTGATACGTGCGCTGGAGCTCTCGCAGGGCTTCCGCGGTCATGGCGGGCTCGGACGCTCTTCCCGTCGAGCCATCCTCGCCATCACTAGATTCAACAGGAGGCAGGGTATCCGGTGCCGCGTCAGGCCCGATGCCGCACATGGCTTCGAGTGTCGATCACGAGAGGCGCCTCGAAACGAAGCGGTCGAAACCCCTATGACACAGCAAGGGAAGTCATCAGCGTCGTCATGAGGCATATCCGGCGCTCGATGCGCACCTTGAGCAGAGCCAACGGGAAGTCAAAACGCGACCTGGGCGGGGACAGCCAGGGGCTGTAAGTGAGGGAGGAAGCCCCCGTCCCGACGCGGTTCGAGGATTGATGGTTTCAGGACGACCGCGTGTAGAGGTTCTTTCCGGTGAATGAATAAGCCGGACGTCAACTGCCCCTCGGAAGAAAAGCGTGTTTTCGGCGCGTCGGAGCAAGCGTCTCGCCAAACAACACGCTCCAGGAGGCGCACCCCGGAAATGCCGCCGAACAAGCCTAGTGCTCTGGGGCTCAAAAGCCAAGGCGCCTAGCGTCTTTGCCCGACCATGCCGGGCCGCCTTCGCGTCGCGAGCGGTCGCGACGGGAGGCCGAAGTCGGCGACCAGCGGGCGCCCATCGTCGCGTAGAACGGGCTCGGTTGGCCCCGGCGAACACCGAAACCCGCGGAGCTTGTCGGTTCCGCGGGGCTCATGAGGTCCGTCGGGGTCACTGAGGTTCCTTTGGGTGTTCCGAACCGGTGACTGTGCCAGGGAGCCGCGATCTCGAAGGCGCGGAAAACTTCGGCCTGCGGGGGTTTTTGGACCGCGAAACACGTCTGCAAAGCTATGAGTGCCATTGCTGCTTGGAGGAAAGCTCATTGGGACTTTATGACGCGTGTGGCCGCTCTGGTTTCGCCGAACTGGTTGACATGTCGCCGACGACCAGTCCGGCGTCAAAGACGACGGAAAAGCTCCTCAAGAAAGCTCGTTGGATGCTTTAGCAAGACGTCTTCATTGGATTGCTCTCGGTTTCGCAGTGCGCGTGGCGGCATTGGGGACTTCCGATGCTGCTCCGAGTTCTGCGTCGCCGAAACGACTTGGAGGTGTTCGAGAGCAATTGCATCGCCTCATCAGAGGGGATCATCCTTGAAGGATCGCGTCGGGTAGCGCTCCCTGCCACGACCTTCGGCGGCGTGTTTGCCGAGCCCGACACCCCGATCGAGGCCCGCGAGACTATCCCCAGTGATCATGAACCGAGAACGACGACATTGTAGCTCGCTCTAGCGAGTGCAAGTTGTCTGCGCCCCATTCCGGTCTCAGGTGCAGAAAAGATGAGCGCTGGTGGAGGTGGGGCTCGTTCCCCGGGCCGTCGATGGTCGGCGTGCCATGCGCCCAGCAGCTTCGCACACGACTTTAGGGCAACCCTCGGACCTGTACCAGGCAAAACGGAGAGTGCCTGTCGTTGCCAGTGCTGGAGGTGGGGCTCGAACCCACGCGCCTTTCGGCAGGAGGACTTAAATCTCCCGAATTGACCACTCTTCCACTCCAGCAGACTTCCAATCCCTTGCGAGTGCGCGTTGTCAAGTGGGGATCGCCCACGAAATCCGGGGAATCGGTCACCTTGAAGTGCGCTCGGTACTCGAATACGGCCCCTATGTCGTTATCAGAGCTCGCTAGAAGCATGCAGATGTACTGTTGAATTGCCCACCTTCCCCTCCGATGGAGGAGGACACCCACCCAAGAGCCTGGAGCCCCTCCCAAACCCGTCCTCTTCCGACCCGGACCTCTCGCAACACCCCATCCTTCCATCCAACGTAGCTCCATGCCATTAGCCGACAACACGTGCACCATTGCCACAAACACGACCGCCGGGTATCCGATCCGGTCATCCGATCCGGGTATCTCCAAGCCCTGCCCTCCGCCTGCCCTCGGCCCTCCCTCGCCTCCTCCTCCGTTCTCCCTCGGTCCCTCCGTCCCTCGTCTGCCAACCCACCCCATGCCACCCCGCTAGTCATCTCCGGCAGGAACCTGCGGAGGGCGCGCCTCGAAATCAGCCGAGGCATTTCGCTCTCCCTCGCCGCCATTGCCCACCTCCTCCTCCAGTACCCTGACGAGCTTGACCCTCATCTCGGTCGTGTCGTCGCCCCGCAGCGTGTCCGAGACAAAGTTGCACTCGACCTGCAGCTGGACCATCTCGCAGGCCCCGCGCACGACCCCGCACAGCAGGTTCGAGTACCACAGCCCCTCCTTGACCGCGTCCTCGGGCAGCTCCACGAACTCGGCCAGCGGATTGGACGTCCCCGTCGCGGGATCGTCCAGCAGGATGGAAAACTCCTTCATGTCGGCCGACCAGTTGGCGACCGGGGGCGAGATGCCGAGGAAGAGCTTGAACCCCATCTGCGGCCACCCGGTCCTTCAGCGGTCCGCACACCCTCCCGCACGCCACCCATCGTTACCTTGGCGATGACCTCGGCGGTCTCGCGCAGGTCCGCGCAGCGCCCGAGGTTCGTCCGCGCGAGAAAGTCCTCGATGAGCCGCGTCCCGATGTTGTACCCCATCTTTTCCAGCTGCTTGTTGACCTCGCCGTATTCTTCGTAGTCCCGCATCAGTTGCACGACGACGGAGCCGTACGTGAGCGTAAAGAGCTCCGCGTTCTGGGCCCCGGCGGCGGCGGCGTGCGGACTACGCGTCAGACCGGCGCTCGGGAAGCGGAACACGCCGCAGCTCACGATCTTCTCGACCTTTGTCTTCCAAAGATCGTCTGCCTGGCGCTGGAATGATTGCTTGCTGGCCGCCATATCGTTGAGGGCCGAGCGACGACAACGTTGACCGATCGCGCGACGGTCCGCGCGATCACGGCGTGAACCCGGCCGGAGTTGCGGTTGTACTCCTTCCGGGTCCCTGCAGACGGTGTAGATTCCCTCGAACACGGACGAGGAGGATTCCTGTGGCCAGTTCCGGCCCGAGAACCGCGGCGGACGGATGTCGGAGCGGAGCCTCATCAAGTTTGTCTTGAAGGACCAGTTCGATGCCACCCACGCGAGGGAGGACTACCTCGGCAGCGTTCTGATCGTTCTCGGAGGGGATCGGGAGGGCTCCAAGCACACGGCAGTGATAGCGAGGGCGATTCTTGCGGAACTGGACAAGAATCCGGACGCGGCCGCGCTGAAGGACAAGCTGAAGTGGCTCCCCGTGGCGGACCTCCGCATCGTCCCGAGCCTTCTTCGCTGGGCCGTCAAGGCCTTTTTGCCCTCGAATCCGGCCGAGAAAGTCGCCTTGGACTGGTCGGGCGTCTTCCACGCGGCCTACCAGTGGAAGGACTCGCTGGCGAACGCCATGATCTTTGGCAAGGACGGTCGCCTGCTATACAGCAACGCCTTGGCGGAGCTGAGCGACGAAGAGCGGGACAAGATGGTCGCGATCATCGTCGAGGCACTTAGAGCTTGACTCGTCGCGCAACCAGCTCGGACGAGGCTCGCGTACATCTTCATTGATTATGTACATCTAGAAGGGTGCGTTGCCAGTCATTTTTCACTTGCCCTGGACGGGGTGTGGGGAGATTCAGCTCGTCCGACATGCCTTGCCCCCCAGGGATCGTCCGGCACCCGCCCTCAGTCAGTTGAGAAGACCGGAGGGCCCCAAGCCGTGCCCTCCACACCGGCTTGCCGCCCGCGTCACTGCCAGACGACTGCTCTCTATCCTCCGGCTCGATGGCAGGTGCGTTTCGGCCAGAACCCCCGGCGCCGGGGCCAGTAGAGGGTGACCGAGGTCGCGGCGGGAACCGGCTTCGCACCGCCCAAACGGCGCCGAACCACCGTCTGCGGCCGCAAGCCGGCTCTTTGGATTAAGCGTCAGAGGAAAGCGGCGTCGGGTTCATTGTTGGCGGTCGTCGTGTTCTGCGGGACTGCGGAGGCGAACCGGGCCAGACACGGCGATGCCGCTTTCCTCCGACACGCCAGCCAAAGACCCGCTGCTTTGGTCGGGCACTCGGTGCTCGTTTGATCTGCGCGTGAGCCACCCTGACGGACCATTTTCTCCCCCAGAAGATGCGGCGGAGTTGGTTCCTCCCGGCGCTCCCCAGGATCCGGCGTGGGCAGCAGGCGCAGGAGATCTGCCCAACCTCGGCGCTCAAGGGCTTCCCGAGGGACCAGACGGTGCGCCCGGAGCGACGGGGATTGCGGGGAAAGGGAAACGCAGGGTTGTCGACCCCGAGGCTTCGGATGTGCGACCTGGGGCCGTGGGTGCCAGCCTCTTGCCTCGCCTTCCAAGTTCTCATCCCTTCGCTTCTCTTGCTTCATAATGGCCGTTGCAGTCGCCGAAGAGGGTTCGTTCGGCTTCGCCTTTGCCGCGGGACCTTTCGGAAGACGTGCAGATCCCGCCGAATGCCGGACCGCTGCTGGACGTCTCGGGTGCTGCTTCCGCTGCTTCGGACGAGAGCCACGTGAATGACTTGACCGGTTCGACGCCGGATCGGCCAGTTCGAGGCAAGCAAACCCGCCGCAGCGAAAGGCGCAAGGGTCGTGGTCTTGCAACCCATGCTGGTCCTGCGTCACTGGATCTGACGGGTGATTCGAACGCGGCCAGCTCGAGTGGACCAGCGGTCGAAGAGGATTTGCCGCTGGCGACCCGTCGATCGAGACAGCCGGCTGCCCGGATCCGCATTCGACCACCCGCGGCCTCCGCCGCTTCCTCGGCACTTCCGCAGCATGCCGGTGGCCCGGAGGCCGGAGCAGCGGCAGCGCAATTGCCTCCACCGGCACCGGGAAGTCGAAGGCAGGAGCCTGCGGGCCAGGTGGTCGTTGATCTCGACTCGGACGTCGAAGAGCAGGGAGGCGGACTTCCGGAACCGGGGCACCGCTCGGCGAGCGTGGGCCAGCGCCAAGACTTGTCGAGACGGCAGCAAGTACGGCCGCAGATCGGGACTGTGGACCTCACTGCGATCGAGAGCGACGAGGAATCCGACGGAGGAACCGGGGGCGGGCAGGGACCAAACACCATGATGCAGGATACCCGGAACGCGACCCTGGACCGCATAGCCAGCACGTTCACGAGCATCTTGTCCAACGTGTTGGGAGGCAATCGGCGTGCGGCAAGCGTGCTGCCCGGAACCAACGTCGGAAACGGCGGCAACCAGGTGGTCGTGATCGACGACAACGAAGATGACGAGATCGAGATCACCTCGATCCGGATCGCGCAGCCCCGCTCGAGGCCTGCGGCCAGGCTACCGCCGGTCGCGGCGCCAGCGCCGGCACGGACGGCATCCGTACCCCCTCCCCGAGTCTCGGAGAACTTGCTCGCACAGATACAGGCCCTCGCTGCCGAGGAAAAGGCGGCAAACAGGGTCGAGCTGCGTTGCGCGATCTGCCTGTCGCTGCCCAGCGAGGGGACGCAGCTCTCGTCGACCGTGTGCGGACACATCTTCTGCGAGGATTGCATCAAGGGAGCGCTCACGGCCAAGGGGGCAGCCGGGAAGAAGTGTCCGGTCTGCCGGAAGAGCATCGCAGCGAAGAACGCGGTACACCGTCTCTACTTGTAGGCTGACGTCATTACATTTCTGAGCGTGCTTTGCCATTTTCCAGGATGCCTTCTTGTCCAGGTCTTGCAGTTCAAGTATTCAGGCAACGAGAAAGACAATGCGATTATCGCCAAAGATGGTACATCCGGGTATGACAGTCAAGGCCACGTATCAAAGGTTTCAAACGCAAAACATCCTCAGCCACTGGGCGAAGGAAGCCGGACTCCCTGTTCCCCTTCCACCTCAACATCGTGTGCTCCCTTCAGCGCCCCGTGCTCATGCTTTCCGTCTAGTTCTCCGGCAGATGATCGAATTCGAACCATCTTGATCCGATTGATTTGGTTCGGGTCACCCTCCCACGTCCGCACGAAGGCCAAGTTCTTCACGTCGGTGAAATCGGGCACCTCTGGAGGCAACGAGTGAGACAGCCGTCGAGCTGGTGAGGAATGCAAGACTCGCACCGACTCCAACGTTGTACTCGTCCAGCTCCGATTGTCTGAGTGCCTCCAAGTTCGCGAGCTTCGACGGTTTCGGGCGCCCTTTCCGGAGCTGCTTCGTCAAGGCCTCAATCTGATCATCGTTCCTGGCTATGTACCTGGATGAAATGCGACGTTAGCAAGTCCCGGGGATCGCCTCGCCGAACGAACATTGCAATCAGCTCGTGGAGGTCTCCCCTGGACGCAACCGCAACCTCGTCCGGCAACGCAAACTTGAACCAAACCAGGCGCTCGGCAGCCTTGCTGCGCTGCTTGCTGGCCATTGCTGCCTGCTTGGCTATCTTCTCCGTGCGCAGGGTAGCCCTTGCCAGCTGCGTTGCTTTCCGGGAATACGGGTGGGCCTGCTCGGGATTCTTGACATTCTTGGGGTTCTTGATGGCATTGTTGGGCTGCAACAAGGTGCCTCGTCAGGATACAGGGCCCATGGAGCCACAGAGCACGCACCATCTTGGGAACCAGCTGTTAGTGATTATTTGTTTGGACCCGCGCCGCTCCCGCCACGTTCGCGCGTTGTCGCCGCCTTCTTGCCCGGTTCAAA